GACAACATTGCAAAGAATGAGTATTCTGGAATACTTAATTGTGCTCATGAGGAACCAGCATATAGGCCAAGAGGTAGTTGTTCAAACAGAACATGAGATCAATGAATAGTTTAAAATGAGGAAAGGTGTGCACCAGGTTGTATTCTTTCACCATACTTATTTAATCTGTATGCTGAGCAAATAATCCGATAGGCTGGATTATATGAAGAACAACGTAGTGTCAGGATTGGAGGAAGACTCATTAACAACCTATGATATGCAAATGATACAACCTTGCCGGCTGAAAGTGCAGAGGACCTAAAATACTTACTGATGATCAAAGACCATAGCCTTGGGTAGGGGTTGCATCTCAATGTAAAAAACCCAAAACAATGTAAAGAAAACAAAACAAAACTCCAATAAACAACATTCATATAAGTGGAGAAAAGATTGAATTGTCAAAGACTTCATTTTTCTTGGATCAACCATCAACACTCATGGAAGCAGCAGTCAAAAATTTAACAATATATTACATTAGGCAAATCTGCTGCACAAAACCTTTTAAAAGTGTTGAAGAGCAAAGATGTCAGTTTGAGGATTAAGATGTGCCTAATCTAAACCCTGTAATTTACAATAACCTCAAATACATGTGAAAGTTGGTCAGTGAATAAGGAAGATCATAGAAGAATTGATGCATTTGAGTTATGGTGTTGGATGACAATATTGAAAGCACCATGGACTGACTGTCAAAAGAACAAACAGATCTGTGTTGGAAGAAGTACAGCCAGAGTGCTACTTGGGACATATGATCAGAAGAGACCAGTCCCCGGAAAAGGATATCATGTTTGGTAAAGTGGATGGTTGGAGAAAAAGAGGAAGCCCCCAACAAGATGGATTAGAATAGTGGCGGCAGCAATGGGCTCAGGATTAGCAAAGATTGCAAGGTTGACGCAGGACCAGGCAGTGTTTTGATCGGTTGTGTGTAGGGTTGTTACAAACTGGTGTTGACTCGATTGTACCTAACAACAACAATGCTGTTTTAAAAAGGTATTTGCAATAAGTAAGTTATTGGTCTTGCAAAATTCTATCATGTTCCAGCATCATTTCTATCATCAAGACCATATTTTCCAACTACTGATACTTCCTCTTTGCTTGCAGCTTTGTATTCCAATCACCAGAAATAAGTGCATCTTGGTTACATGTTTGATCAATTTCTGACTGAAGAAGTTGGTAGAATTCTTCAGGTTCATCACTGCTGGCTTTAGTGGTTGGTGCATCAACTTGAATAATAGCAATGTTAACTGGTCTTTCTAGCAGACATATGCATATTATTTTATTACTGTCAGCATTGTACTTTGCTCTTTTTGACAATGAATGCCACATCATTCCTCTTCAATTTGTCATTCCTGCCATAGTAAGTCGTGATGGTCTGCTTGCCAATACCTATCCATTTTGGCTTACTAATGCCTAGAATATAGATACTTATGCATTCCATTTCATTTTGACCCATCCTATTTTTCTAGATTCATACTTTGTGCATTCCATGTCCCAATTATTAATCAATGTTTACAGTTTTGTTCCTCATTTTGAGTTGTGAGTTGTTGAACAAATGAAGATCCCAAAAGCTTTACTCCATCCAATTATTAATCAATGTTTACAGTTTTGTTCCTCATTTTGAGTTGTGAGTTGTTGAACAAAAGAAGATCCCAAAAGCTTTACTCCATCCATTTTGTTGTGGTCAGCTCTACTTTGAGAAAGCTGCTCTTACCCAGTTGTATTTTGAGTGTCTTCCTAACTGAGGGGCTCATCTTCTGGCACTATATTT